CATCTCATACATCGGCCTCGTAGGCCACTTGCGAATCCACCGCACAGAGACTGGTTAGCCAGTGCCTGAACCACCAACATATATCAGACGTCGCCGCCTCAAACCCTGATTTGCTTTTCAATATCCGGCCATCGCACGAAACTGTTCGGTCACACGAACTCATGAAAACCTGCAGTAGATCACCGCAGACGAATTCATATCACCAAAGACTCTACAATAAACACATGTCATACACATGAACACTTCTTAAATTTCACACCACCGGCACCTTCCACGTAAGTGATCTGTGTGCTTTTCGGCATATTTCTCCATGGGCTCCTACACATAGTGTGAGATCCAGGCTTCCTACCCCTTGTGTGCGAACTCCTAATGTATGCGCAAAGATTAGGGGTGTCCGGGTGTCCAGCTGTGTCCACGTGATGGTCACAGTAGGTCGTTCGTATGCTGACAGGTGTGGACGATGCCCACAGTCCTTTTCTGGCACCAAACTCTCAAATGTGGCTCTCTCAAGCTAGGCCCTGCCTAGTGACCACACGCCGGTAACCGCATTGACCGGCGGGCTAAACCGGGGAAGCACATTCGCTAACATCGTCAGCGTCTACGCCCCCTGATGACCACTCCCGGCGCTGCAAGGAAGTAATTATACGAGGACCTGCACGCCCTCCTGGCGACTGTGTCGAAGGCGGATAAGTTGATTGTCCTTGGTGACTCCACGCCCGCGCCGGCCCAGACCATGCCGCCTAGAGAGGAGTACTGGGTCCCCATGGTCTCTTTGGCACCAATGATAATGACCTGCTCCTTCTACGAACCTGCGCAGAACACCGTCTCATCCCGACCAACACCTACTTCCGCCTCCCATTGTAAGAGAAGGCCACCTGGATGCACCCTCGGCCGCAAAATTTACACCTGCTGGACTACATCCTCGTCCGAAAGCTAGACCAGCGGGATATGTTGGTGAGAAAGGCGATTTTGTGTGCCGACGGGTGGACCGACCATCGTCTCGTCATCTCCAAGGTACGGATACGCCAAAATCCTCGCGGGAGACATCAGGGTAAGCAACCACCAGGTGAGCTGAATACTGCCTTATTGTCTTTGCCTACTCACCATCATCATTTCAGCAATGAGCTGGCTCATCAGTTAGCCAACCTTTCGGTGGCCGCAGCCGCTGCCACTTCGACCGCTGATGAGAACGCCTTCGTGGAGAACCGATGGTGTCAACTGCGGGACACAGTCCAGTCGACGGCGTTTGCTGTCCTCAGTCCCGAACGCCGCCAACACCAGGACTGATTTAAGTCAGTATATTTTATTTTAAGGGTAATAGGCAATGCCTTTGAAAACCCTACTGTAAACGGTACATGTATTATCTAACTTCAAACAAACACGGTACTAAAATGTTGCCAGTAATATATACACTTAAGAGAATATTTTTTTGAAAATGCAGAACCGAAACTCGAGAACATTGACTTTTAGATGATATCGGTAAAATGAAATGACAGTCATCTGCATTAGCCGTAGGTGTAGACAGGTCGTTGGTTTGGCACCACAGAGCTGTTCTGTCCAGCCAAGCGGTATTGTCCAAGTAAATATACATCTAGTCTTCGCTTGAACGTCTCCGCGGTATCCGCCATTATTGCGCCCTCAGGGAGCCCGTTCCAGGCACCGACGACTTGCTGTGAAAAAAAGTATCTTAGAACGTCCAGGCGGCATCGGGATCCTCTTAGTTTTAGAGAGTTTCCACGCAGGTTTGTTGCTGTGGCCAGGGTGATAAACTCGTCGTAGTTTAGGGCACAGTCCCGGTTCCTCAATATCCAATACGCCTGTATGAGATCTCGAATCTGCCTGTACTCAAGGGAAAAGAGTTTAAGTTCACTAAGTCGGCAGTTGTAAGGTAGGGTCCTTAGGCCTTTTACAATTTTTGTCGCTCTCCTCTGAACTCTTTCTAGCAACTTATAGTGTTTTTTAAGCCACGGGCGCCACGCTTGGATTCCACACTTCAGATGCGAACGAATGAACGGCGCCGCCACCAGCAACCCGCTCGTCGAGAAGGGTCGCCTGCACAAAATGTGCGTCAATCGTCCCACTGATGACAACAAGGCAACCTTCTACCATAGTCGCCGCCTTGTGCTTTAGCATCTACGCGAGATGCAGGAGGACTGGACGGCTCGCAAGGACAAGGAGACCCAAGGGTACGCGGACCGCAACGAATGGAAGAACTTCTTCTCCGCGATCAAGGATGTATACGGACGACAGCCAAATCAATTGCTCATCTTCTCATCGCGGACGGCATTACCCTACTCACAGAGAAGACACAAATTCTACAGCGATGGGCCGAGCACTTCAGAGGCGTCCTCAGCCATCCCTTCAACATCTCTGACGCAGCTATCGCCCGTCTGCCTAAAGTGGGGATCAACGCCGAACTCGACTTCCCGCCCTCTCATCATGAAACCATCAGCACCGCGCAGCAGCTTTCCAGTGAGACAGCGCCCGGATCAGACAGGATTTCTGTTGAGATATACGAGCGCGGTGGTCCCCAACTCATGGATCATCTGATTACGCTCTTTCAGGAGATGTGCCGTCAAGGAGAGGTCAGACAGGATTTCAAGGACGTCACAATCGTCCGCCTCAGCGAGCGGAAGGGAAACCGCCAAATCTGCGACAACCATCGAAGCATCCCTCTGCTGAACATCGCCAGGAAAATCTTCGCTCGCACCCTTCTCAATCGCCAGAATAACCACCAGGAACAGGATTTTCTGTCGGAAGGCCAGTGTGACTTCCGCCGACATCGAGAAACCACGGACATGATCTTCGCCTCCCGCCAAATTCAGGAAAAATGCAAGGAGATGCGGATCCACCTGTACTCTACATCGTTGATTTGACAAAAGCCTCCGATACGGTTAGTCGTGAAGGACTGTGGAAAATCATGCAAAAATTTGGCTGTCCCGAGTGATTCACTCAAATGTTGCGTCAGCTCCACGAAGGCATGATGGTGTGCATCACGGACAACGGAGCTGTCTCAGAGGCATTGACAGTTGCCAACGGAGTAAAACGGGACCGCGTTCTAGCGCCTTCCCTTTTTAGTCGCCTGTTCTCTGCCATGCTGATGAACGCCTACCGTGAGGAACGCCCTGGGATCCGCATCGCATACAGGACAGACGGCCACCTCCTCAACCACAAGCGGATGCACTTCCAGTCGCGTGTATCCACAACCACCGTCCACGAGTTTCTTTTCGCCGACGACTGCGCCCTCAACACCACCTAGGAGGGGGCATGTAAAGAAGCATGGATCTCTTTTCTGCCGTCTGCGACAACTTCGGTCTGATAACCAAAACGGAGAAGACGGCTTTCGTGCATCAACCACCACTCCACATAGCCCACAGTGCGCCACAAATCAGCGTGAATGGAACCCAACTGCAAGCGGTGGACAACTTGACGTATCTGGGCAGCACCCACTCCCGCAGCACCAAGATCGACAACGAAGTTGCCGCCGTATTTCTAAAACCAGCCAAGTCTTCGGCCATCTGCAGAACAACGTCTAGAACCATCACGATCTCCATCTCAACACGGAACGGAAGATGAGCAGGACAGTCATTCTGCAGACGCTGCTGTATGCAGCGGAGACCTGGACAATGTACATGAAGCAGGCGCGGTGACTCCACCATTTCCACCTCAGTTGTCTTCGCCGAATACTGAATCTGAGGTGGCACAACCGGATCCAAGACACTGACGTACTGCAGGGGACAAGAATGCTCAGCATCTGCACCATGCTGAGACAACGGCAACTCCGTTGGAACAGTCACCTCGTGCGGATAGACAACGAGCAGATATCCAAACGACTCCTCAACGGAGATGTCGCCACCGGTTCCCGCCGTAAACGAGGCCAAATTCGTCGGTACAAGGACATTCTGAAGACTTCCCTAAAGCGGCTGCTGATTAACCCGGCTAACTAGGAAGACCTACCTCGAGACCGACCGACCTGGAGAAGGACAGTTAAGACAGGCGGAGCAATTTACAAGGCAAACCGCATTGCCGCTGTGAAAACAAAACGAGAGGCACGCAAATCTCAACTGCGCCCACCCCGAAACGCCAACTCTCAACAGCCCCCAACGTGTCCACTGTGTCAGCGGACATTCTGGGCGTCAAATGGACTTGTCGGTCACCTTCGGACAAACTGCAGCGCTTGGACTGCACCAACCGTCGTCTCTCCATCCACCCCTCCCTCGCTTTCTACGCCGTCAACTAACTCTGACCGCCCTCCCAAACGACCACTTTCATCATTTTCCCTCCCCGCTGTCTAAACGACTGCCGCTGTGGCGTCTGCCACGCACATCAACATGAGGCGCAGTCCGGACACAACCACAAACCCCAACACCACAGTCGTGGACACCAGTGGTGAGGACCTGGTCTGTGCCTGTCCTCATTGCGACCGAATCTATGCCTTAAACTTCGGCCTGGTCGGTCACTTGAAAATACGTCGCTCAGAGACTGGAGACCCGGTGCTCGGAACACCAACCTACACTCGTCGCACTTGCCTCCATTGTTCATATTGCACTCACACATCTATTCACCGCATGGGTCTATTAGGTCACATGCGCGTCCACAAAAAACTGCGATAGACCACCGCCGGCTGCAACACACCACCACATCCTCCCCCACCAGCATATAATCACCCCTCAATCTCACCCACCGCAAACATCTAAGCGCCATCTTCCACGCAAGTTGGAAGTGTGCGTTTCGACTGCTTTTATATGCGGCCAACCAGCTACATGTGTGATCGGAGGCCTAGACGAAGATGGTGCGTCGAGCACCGTGGCTCGGAAGGGAGTCGACTGACGTCCCAACTCAGTCCACCCAGTTGTGTGTGTGGTTGTGTGGAGTGGTGGACCGGTGGGCTGAGAGCCAGGCTTGAGCGGCTCCTTCTAGAGCTATCTGTGGCACTCTCGTGCATGTGAGGAGAGTGTGTGTAACATATGGGTAGTTCCTTCCAGTCGACGAATCACTCGAAAACTGTTTGGTTACCTAATCTTGAAGGGTGACGGCCCAAGCTATATGCAGGATCCCGTGTCGCCCTTCAAGGTCAAAAGGCCTGCAAGCGTTTGCTATGTAATTATCAGCAAAGCATGGCAATCCCAGCCTGGTATGCGCTGGCAATTCCCTGACACCTGATTTTCTGCCGGAAGATACGTTTGCGCTCCCGCTATGTACACCGGTGGTAGGCATGACCGCCAAGTCATTCTTGTCGCTCTGGCCCCTGTTGCGGTACTGTTGATTTTTCTGTTGTGGGCGAAAAATCCTCGTCATTTGCTGTCTGAACAGGGGGTGTGGTGGCACGCCTAGGTGCGGCTCTGGCGATGCCAGCAACCTGCGCCCCCCCCCCCTCCACCTCCGGTCTTCTTGACTCTGTCTTGACACCGGGTCCAGCTGGGGAGTGGGGAAGAGAAAGTGCGGTAGATGCCGTGCAATTCTATTATCACTATAAACTAATTCACGCGCAAGTCGCCGTTGCTGCTCTCCTCTTAATACTAGTAATAATAATGTTATTTAATGCCACTTTTCAGGCATTGTCAAGGGAAGCGTTAAACGCAAATCCGACCAGCAGTGAAAAAAAACTCCTGAGGTAAATTAATAAAAATATAGTTGATGGTGGTTTTTATGGTTTGGAGGGTTCAGGAGGAAAAAACTACTGGCGGCATACATTCGACCGCCAAGAAGGGTGAGGAGGGGGGGGGGGTTGAACGGTATCGGAGATTATCGGACGTCCATTCCTTTCATGAAGTTGGGGATAGTCAAAGTAGAGGCGTTGAGGAACAACTGTCACTGTTGGCCAACGAAACTGTCCATGGTGAGGCCGGTCATGATGTTCAGAGACCACAAACGCCATCGCTACCGTACAGTCGATGAGTGGATTCAGAACCCAACATTTGAGGAAGCTATTCTGAATGCAAAAATCGAGTAATAGTTCTCTTAAATAAGGGATAATTTTGCAGAGTTTTCACACTCATTGGTAGTTTGTTCCAAATAGCAATTGCATTTACAGAATAGAACCGACGATATTTAACAGCACGTACCAGAGGAAGAAATAAGAAGACCTCACGGTGACTGTTACGCCATGGGTGGATATGATGTCTTAAAGAGGTGAGTGGGTTAAATGTGTGATTATAAAAGAGTTCAAATAGCAAAAATAGTCCTTTTTGTAATCTACGGAACCATAAAGGATCAAGACCTGTAAGCCGGCAACGTTCTTGGTAAGACAAATATCGGTGTTCCGGGGTTAAAACTGTCTTTGTAAAAAAGTGTTGAACGGATTCTATTTTCTTCCGCTCAGTAGCACGCATGAGGCTAAATAAAAACGAACAGTATTCCAGACCAGGTCTAACGTACATGTTGAAAAGGCGCATTCTAATGTCCCTAGTTTTAAAGTTTCGGAGGATAAACCCGGTCGTTCTGCGTGCTTTGGAGACTGTCAAGGCACAGTGCTCCGAGAGATTGAGACTCTTGGAGTATGATATGCCCAGATCCTTAATAACCCTGGGCACATTTATGGTGTGACCTTCAATACTTAGTTGAGGTTGGCGGTCGTCGCCAACCACCATGACTGAGCACTTATGCCAAGAAAGAGAAAGGCGCCCTGTGCGGCACCACTGGGCGAAAGCCTGCAGATCGCTCTTCAGGAGCTCAAGCACGGTGTAATGATCTGCCGGCTTATATCGATATGCAACTTTAAGATCATCGGCATGCATGAAAGGCTTACCATTCTGAAATAAATCGGGTACATCATTAACGAAAAGACAAAATAAAAGCGGGCCGAGTACACTACCCTGAATGACTCCACTCCTCACACGTGTGGGGTTGGAGATATTATTGGAAATCTTAACTCGTTGTGTACGAGTGCCCAGGTAAGAGGATACAAAATTCAAAAGTTTGCCACCTATTCCGAAAGAGGACAGTTTCAAGAGAAGAAGAGCATGGTCAACACGATCAAAAGCCTTAGTGAAATCGAAATTTACTGTGTAAAGAGCAAAACCATGGTCCCTAGATTGGAGAACGTAGTCAAAGAAAGAGAGTTGACAGGTGTCACAAGATCGAGCTTTGAGGAATCCATGCTGAGCAGCACTCAGTAAGTTATTCGCTGTTAAGTGACACATCATCTTATCCTTGATCAATGTCTCTAAGATCTTCGAAACTGCAGGGAGGTTGTTTATTGGCCGAAAGTCATCAAATGATGTAGATTTGCAAAACACCTTGCTACCTAGTCCGATCCGGTCCCTTTCTTTCGAGCACTTTCAGGTAGGACACTTAGTACAATTAATGTATTCTCAGATCTCATTAAGACATACATAAGTCGTTTGAAATACTCACACTGCTCAGGAACGGACGGGATTCCGAATTCGATTATTAAACAAGTGTCCGACCTTTTCATATTGCTCAGTCATTTGTTCTCGGTTTATATTTCAAAAGGATTCTTTCCTGAAACATGGAAAACGTCAATTATCATTCCCGTTTTCAAGTCAGGATCTCGGTCCGATGTTAATAACTATCGGGGCGTGCACAAAACGCCGTCTCTAGCAAAGCTTCTTGAAAGGATTATTTTCAATGGAATTCTTGACTTCTGTCTAGCTAATAGGCTTCTAAACTCTAGTCAGCATGGATTTTTTCCTGAACGATCCTGTGAAACATGCCACTTGGCTTTTCTTAATCTAATCACTTCTCTTCGTAATGAGCGGCAGTCAGTGGTTGTTATTTACTTTGATCTTAGCAAAGCCTTTGACAAGGTGCCCCATAGACGTCTTTTATTAAAATTGGAAGCTCTCGGCATCCGGCCGTCTCTACTCGACTTCCTCAGGTCCTATCTGTCCAACCGATATCAGAAAGTCATGGTCGGTAATAGCTACTCGACACCCCACTCGATCACGAGTGGCGTACTTCAAGGCACGGTTCTGGGTCCGCTACTCTTCCTTCTGTACATCAATGATATTTCGACTGAACTCGGAAATTCGCAAACTTTTACTTATGCCGATGACCTCAAGTGTGTTCACTCATACTCTAAGGGCACTGAATATGTTTGTGTTGAAAAAATTAATGCCGATTTACTACGCTTAAGCAGATGGGGTTTGACATGGCAGATGGAGTTTTCATCATCCAAGTGTAGTTTCATGTCTTTTGGTCCTACCAAACTTCCTGGTCCCATATTTTTTAGAATAACCCACTCTCAGAATGCCTCACATAAAGGACCTAGGTCTAAGTTATACAAATAAACTTGCTTTATCACCTCATGCAGATAGAATCTCTGCCAAAGCCGCGCAGATATGTGGATTCATATCGCACAATTTTTTCCTTCCGGAAATGAAGCTAAGACTTTATCAAATGTTTGTTCTTCCAGTCCTCGCATACTGCTACCCTTTCTTCGGTTTAATGAACGCCTGCGACCGTAATAAAATCGAAAATGTTCAGAGGATTTTCACCCGAAAACTGTTCTCTCAAGCTTCGTCCGGTATTTCTTATACTCAGGGATGTCAGCTGGCGAACATTAAGTTTTTGTGGGTTAGGAGACTTCAAGCTGGTCTTTGCTTCCTTTTTCGCATCAACTCTAGCTCCAGTCTTCCGCTCATTGACATTCTCACTCAGAGAGATCAGTCTTATGCCACGCGCAACTCCTGCATGGTGATTCCGCCGCCTCTTTGTACTACATCTAAGCGCTCCCTCTTCTTTGCTTCCAAATATGCCTTCCTTTGGAATAATCTTCCGCCTGAAATTAGATTATCGCCTAGGTTACTGATATTCAAGTCGAAATTACGCAAACATCTTACACCGGAAAGCATAAAGGCACTGTTAACGGTCTCATTCCCGAACACTCAGATTCTTGACTTCGAGAAGGGTCCTCCTGGGATTTAGTGGTAGATTAAGTGGTAACTCTTAATTATATCATTAGAAACCCCTGTTTTGAATTGGTTTCTAAATCCACTGCTATCACTCCCCCCCATAGCGACAATTTCCGCGGTTTTTAATGTCATCTCCCGCATTCCGACCTCATGCGGTCTGTCGACGCCAATGACGGAACCCTAAGTATTCACCGTCTACTAGTATTTTGGTCGTACCTCCCTTCCCCACTCCTCGGCTGAGCTCGAAGCGTGCTGTGACCGATCGCATCTGTGTCCTCTCGTCTGGCCTCTTTGACACGAATAGTCTCATGCGGCGTATCAATCCGGCCCGGACGATGTCAGTTGTGAATCCCGTATACAATACCACATGCGGGCCAGTCCTGTCTGACCCGCATACGTACCCTCATGTTTGACAATTATTGCTACCCTGACGATGGCTGACTACAATCCGTTATATACCGCCACCTGCAGGCCAGTCCTGCTCGCATTTTTCTGTCATTATTTTTAGTGAGGGGTTTTTTTCTCCTGTAAAATTAATCCAATCATTTTTTACCTTTTTTATGGAGTTTTTTTCACCCCTCACTAATCATGTTTCTCAATGGACTACTAATTCAGAAACTATGAATTGCATTTTGTAAAGATTCTGCCTACCTCGTCTAAATTCACATGTAAATTTATTTTAACTTGCTTTGATGGGACCCCGACGGGTCTTTAATAAAAAGTTATCTTATCATCTTATCTTATGACTCTCCGTTTCGGAAAGTGAACTGAGGAGTGTGACTGGCCCTATTTACATACTCCCCATCATACATAATCAGACGCACACGATACTATGACGGTGGTTAGAAAGTTGTGGCTTAGAAGGCTACTTACTGACGGGATAACTCAGTTCTCCCCTAAGGATGGGGTTGGGCTGCAGTGAATTCTTACTATTTCGGCTCTATTTCACGTCCATTCATTCGAGATCCTAGCCGCCATCTTCTTGTTGTGTGAAATCCCGATCTTCTGTGCACGGACAAGTAAGTGTGGTGGCACGCTAATGCGCGGATTCACGCCGTGCTAGGCGTGTGCACCCGAACCCTCTTCCAGTCCTTGATTCAATTTGACATGGAGCCCGGTAAGGTGAGGGCGGAGACACTGGGTCGTTTACTGTTACTATGGACTAATGCCGGAGCTTCTCACCGTCCCCCATTCAACCCTGCTGTAGGGCACACAGTGTATATCATCGTAAATGACGGTCAAACTGTCGTTTTCTACGAGCACTTCTGTCCAGTCATTGGCCGTGAATGGCAGGTTCGTTGCTCACGATCTTCCCTTTCGATAGCCGTGGTGTACATTAAACAAGGGGATGTTGGTTTCCAAATTTCCCATCAATTCCTTGTTAGTGTTTTTCTCAAAAATGTGAAGCAGGAGATTTTTGGCGGCTTTTTGAGTTTCCGTGGGTCTACCACGACTTTCAACTATTCCCATCCATTTCCGAATTTCGGTGCACAGTCGTTTTTTCGGCCTCTTGTTCACGTCCTGCCACGTTCTCGATATCGTTTACTCTATTCTACCTTCCTCATGTAAATTTAAACTGGAGTACACTGTTCTGTTCCCTGCCATGTAACTCATTCTATGTTTTCTCTAAACGTTCCAGAACTCGAAGTAAATTAGCTTCCCTCGATAATCCCATCCGTACAACAGTCTACAAGTTCGATATCCACATCTCTGATGTCCTAACAATACAGCTGACATATTTTGGTCTTGACACCTCGGGACAACTATGAAGACCACTGAGGTTAACCGACAGTTTGGCCGTCGGTTTCGACGATGTCCAACGCGTGCTGTACATCAGGGTGAATGAAGGAGCGGTGACTTCGGCGTGAATGAGACAATAACGAAAGTAAACTTGCACAACATCTACCGAACTCCCTCCTCCGCTCCCATCTGAATCCGGCGTCAAGAAATGGTCAAGGAGACTAGAGATTGGAAAGGGCGCAGGTGGCTGGCACGGTGAGACCCACACCTAAGTGAACCACAACAATCCCCGGGTTCACAACAAACCAAAAACAAAAAAATGGGGAGCAGGGCTCTCATTTGGCGCGATGTGAGCCGGCAACTGGGCCTTCCACCGCACCCCGAATGTTCGCGTTTGTTATGGGTGTGCATTTCCTAGCACGTCTGTCAGAGTCCGATCTAACCCGAGTTGGACCAGCGCACCTTTTGCGCGGACGGTTTTAGGGGCAAATTGAAATTAACCAACATAACTAGTAAACGATATACTGATGGGCTGTACGAAGATCATGAGGTAGGGGATAAAACGTCGTTGCCTATCTTCCAAACAGTTGATAAATCATAATGAAACTCAGTAGTCCATCATGTTTTATTGAGCTTCAAAGCAGGCGGGGAGTACAGCAGTCCGTCCATCAGGTGTTGTTGCGGTGTGGTTGTTTCTCTACATTGCTGACCGCGCCACTCACATCTGAGACCTATTAACCAGTCGGTTTTTAACTATAAACATAATGTGTCCGCAACGGACCAAACTCAAAACTAAAAATAGGCGACGTGATATGGACCAGGTGAATTATCTACTCTTTATGCATTGAGAAATAGATTTACGCGGATAAGCTTCCCAATAATATCGATAAGCGCATCGCAGAGGCCACGCAGCCGGATGAAGACAAGCCCGCTCTTGGACAGTATTTTTGCTTGACATGCGATCTGTATTTCTGTAACGCATCGGCCCTCTCTGACCACCAAAGACGCAAGCCACATAAACGGCGACTGAAAGCCCTCCAGGAAGAACCACATACGCAGGTCATTCAAGCCGTTCTATTCGTTTTTCATCTTTTTGTATGCTTTCCTTATTTGACTCGTGATCATTTGCCTTTCACACGCTGAATGTGAAATTGCCGGGAACTGAATGTCTGTCCGGACAGACATTCTGTCTGTCTGGCTAGTGCGAACAGTTATATCTTAAAAGTGCGAATGTCATATTAATCTAACTTAATTCAGTTTAGTCGAATCTTATTTCTTATAACATGATCTGGTCTAGGCTAACTTACTCCGATCGAAGTCCATTTAAACTAACCTCCCTCGACCTAACCAAGTTTCGTGCTATGTGGTCCAACGTAATTTGATCTAGTGTAACCTAGTTAGGTCTCATTTAGTTTCACGAAATCCAGTATAACCTAATTAAGTCTACTCAAATCTAGTTTGATCTGTTCTCATCCAATCTAATCTCATTTGGTTTAGCCTACTTTATTTTAATTTCTCCCAGCCCTATGTAGTGTATTCTATTCCCGTATAGTCTAATTTGATCAAATCTAATGCTTATTTAGTCCCACCGTCAGCGTGAATTCCGGTTTACTTCGCCAAACGTTAACTCTCGCTGTGGCGTTGCAGTGTACAAATTTCACTCCACACCCACCCTTTGCACGCCATATTTGCATCAGTTTATAACCTACCACTTACCTTATTCATCTCCGCCGTGCTCCAGTGAACGGGTGTTCGAATAAGTTTTTTCATAAAAATCATCAACTCCATACGTCATTCACCCATCTGTGAAAGACTCGGAGCCTCGGTGGGATTCGAACCCCCGACAGCAATAAGAGGCTTGAGTACAGCCAACGCTCTAGCCAACTCAGCTACGAGGCCCCCCCCCCCCCGGGAGGCGCGAGTTTAATCACATTTTGGGTCAAGTTACCCGCCCAGCCTACTGGAACGTCTGGAATCCACCAAATCTGATACACTAAGCTGACTGTCCAAGCAGGATTTCCTAAGTAGTTCACCTAGAATCAACGTGAATTATTCAGAATCTGCCAAAACATCTATTAACTTCGTACATGTCTTCGAGGAATGTTTATCGTAAGTACACAAGCTTTTTTGCATACTATTAGTTCTTTACCACAGTGATTGTAACCTCGCAGTCAATGTCTCTGGGTCACGTATACACTTTAGTGCTGAGAAGGTTTTTTCGCTTCCCATCGGTCGCAGTTTTTACTTGTTTCTTTTATTGCCCATACTGTGCTTTATCGTCCTCGCTCAATTTACCCCTTTTATGTGTCAAGAATTAAATGTTCATTTTTTACAAAACAAGCATTTCTTTAGGATCTACCCCTTGCTATTTCCACTTTGTCGTTTTTCAGGAGGACGCCGACTGGGCGGCGGGTGTCTTCCCAACCAAACGATTTCGAGTACAAAACGACCCTTCAAATCCAGAAAAGTTGCCTTCTCCAAAAGCTTCATTGGAGCCCAGCTATGTGGCTGTGGACTAAAGACGCGTTTGTACAGTGTGATATTTATCCTCAAAATCCGGCGTTTATCAGTATATTCTTTCTGGCCTACTATTGTGTCACTGTTAACGCATTAGCTGGATGCTGAAAAGAAAGATCAGAACTCTGACCTTAGGATTGGTTATCTAACGTTTATGGAGCTCTGCGTCATTTTACGCTTACTGCGTACCGCCCAAATTTTCCCTCATGCCTTTGAGCCCTTCTTGAGATCAAGTACGCCTCTGACTTTCGAAACTCAGTTGCCCACTGCATGGGCTTTTTATTTGGTTTCGTGTTTTTGCGGGCCTTTTCCAGTTCATTTTCGTTAGAATCGTAAGATATGTATGGACGCATATCTCTCGAGCCTGTCGTCTTTTGCAGACCCAATCGTTCACGAAATGGCAATGAATTTTCGCTCGTCAACACGCGGTTACTGCTGTGACGCGTAAGAAACCGGAAAATGAACCCGTGCCGGTTAGTTTAATTGCGATTTGTGCAAAGCCTCAGTGGAGTGACGGAACATGGAGCTTCACTCTGGCTTTCAGACCTCAATTAGCCAAGCGGGTAAAAACTAATACTTGTACTTTATGCATCCGGAATAATGCCTGATACAGCCGGCCCCGATTTTGTCGCGGATTTTACCTTCTCACATGTAGCGATCTATGACAAGTACTCACAGGGTCGGACCCATTCGCTATTCCAATGACGGAGACCAAATATTGAAAATCAAATAACCATCACAGGCTTTGTCGAACCAGCCTTTTATTTTACTTCTTCGACGCTCCCAGATGAACAGCGGTGGCAGGTCACAGGCAGCAACGAAGGTCATGTTAAATGCACTCCAGTCGCCTGCCTTCGATGCCGTGAGATATCCGTGTGATGCCCCGGGGGAGACTGACTATCTTATTTGAGGCGAAGTCAACATACCTCATTCGAAGGATTGTTCTCGGGCATCTATGGTCCAAGTTCAGGTTCTTGCTCATTTTCCAAGACAGCTCGACATCTAAAATCGTATTGGAGGACTGATCTGACGGACGCCCGATGTATGCGGATTCTATGATAATGGAGGTATCATGTCGGGTCAGTAAGCACTTAAAGGATTGTAAATCCTCCAAGTGAAATCGATTCGGGATCGATACCTTATCCTGGCCATCTGGCAGCAGCTTCGAGTTATTTGAGTCTGTCCTCCTCTTCATGTTAGCAATTATTGATCTCGAGGGGTACATTCTCTTCTGGTCAGGTATGCAGTAAGAAAGCACTTTGATATTCCTAGCCTCCATGGAGAACCCGACTGATTTAGCGAACTCGTTCACCAGCAACCACGTTCACTAGGTTATCATAAATTGACGCTACCCGGAATATATTATCAACAGAATTAGTGTTGGTCTGCCGACGTCCAGATGCAAGTCCGACACCGTCAAAACCTCGACGGCTCTTCTGAGGATCCAATCAATGGCGTACTTATCTTGACTGGGCGACAGACTGCAACTGTTGCGAATGTCAAGCCGGGTGTCGAGTGATTTATTGGGGGTTTAGATCAGAGTTTGCAAAGTAAAGTAGCGATAACAAACCTTGGTCATGGCGACAATCTTTGCCGGCACAACATCTGACCATTATCTACCATATGGGGTCGAGATTAACGCAGTCAGACGCCGCGGAGAAGTCAACAAGGCAGACGGCTGTCGCTTGCTGGTAACAATGGCGCAGTCTAAGAAAGCGCCGCAGTGTGAATATCTGGTTAGTGCGTCCATGCCCAGCACAGAACCCGGCTTGGTTGGGTCACGTTGGAGAGTCACGCATACTCTTAAGTCGCCCTCAAATTACAGTGGTGAAGGCCTTTGCAGCAGTGTCGATGAAGGTTATGTGTCAGTGGCTCTCACAGCGATAGCCTACTGCCAGTCATCATAAACAAGGCCACCTCCCCACGCTTTCTTGACCACCTCATGGAATCGGAGCGTTAGTGTCGACACAAAACTTGACTTTAGTGGTGATGTTTCCTCGGGGGCTAAGTCGTTGTACAGCCTCGTTATTTCATGGATGGTTTATTTCTAGGAAGAGGAAGGGGAGTTCACCGCCGCATATGTTGCAGGTGGATAAAACTTATGCAAAAAAGAGAGGAAGGTGATAAATAGTCATTGAGGTTAAGAGGGCGTTGGAAACGCTCACGCTATCTGTAGACCTTGGCCCACTTTACAGCGATAGAATCGTCATTCACATCTAAAACAGTCATCCACTGTAGGGGGCAGACCACCAGATCGACCAAGAACCTGGTGGGGTTTTCGAGCCGGACGTTTTAGACCCGCACCATGGAGGTCTCCACTTCGGCATACTACTCTTGGAGGTAATCTCGAACCCACTTTACCGTCACTTTTCCGAGTTAGCGGAAGGAGTCATTGTGAAGCCTGACACGAACAGCCAGATCAGACAACTGCAAATCCTTGACCTGATCCAGTCACAGCGACGCTACTGGATGAATCAGATTGATGCCGTCTGTTTCACAGACTGTGGACTTCACCGATGACCATTTACCACTCCACCGTCTCGGAGCGGGACAGTTATCTGCTAAGATCCTCATAAGTGCGGCTGTGTCGTAGTTTTGCGACATCAAGGCGTTTTTCGGACTCCTGATCTGAATGAGAGGTCTGATTTCAGACGTATGCGAATAAAGACAGTCTGCCTTGTAGGCGTCATCAATTTCAGCATCATTAATTCGTTACCATGAACCTAACTGCGACATTTTAAACCGACAATAATCGTCTAAATATCAGACTGTTCACTGTTTGCAGCGATGTAAGAAGCGCGTGCTAGGGACAGCCAGCGGGTTTTGGTCAGCGAAATACTATTGTCCTGCCGAAAGCTCAGGGAAGAGTGGCTAATGAAGCAGTTGTTTGGAGAGGCGTCTAGCCCAGGCCGACCATTCCCAATCCCGTCTGCAGTCAACAGGAAATCATTTGTCCAGTACTTGTGGCTATAAGTAAGTTTATCTATCGCTCGGGCCGATTGTTGTTAGTGTTAGTGGGAACAGCAGAGGTGTTATTAAAATGTTCTCTCAGTCGGGCTTAGGCCAGCAGGCCATGTCTGGTTCCCACACAGGCAACTCACAACTCGCCTGTTGCCAGAGGACACTCGTCATACCTTGTCTCCTAGCAGTCGCGTTGGTCGCTGTAATAACGGTGGCTTGGGAGTTGGCCGCACCCCGATCTTGACGTTCCTAAAGTCTGAGTAGGGGCTCTTGACTTTAGATTGGCGGCTGTCCAGATGAGATCACCTGGCTGACTGAGGGTGGGGCCCTAATCTGGAAATAATTGAACTAAACCCCCTAGTCTCTTCACCAGTTCCGGGGATTGGCGGCGATGATACGATGGTCGGTATCCTAACTTTATCTCTGCTGCTACTTACATTAGTTGCAGTAGCAGTAGTAGTAGTAGGGGAGGCATCCTAGTTTGCAGATGTGCAACGCAGAGGGGGGCATGATTATGGACAGTAAGAATCAAGGAGAAAAACAGACTTTCAGTTCGGCAACTTTTTGAACTAGTACAAGCGTCAGATCTTTGTGGGCTCGGATACAGGCTGAAGATAAAGTACCCCAACCTTAACATGTGAGCCGACTTTTTCTCTCACTGGGTACACGAAGGCTGGAACACACTGCTAAACTCAGATAACATGGACGAGACGCTGGACAATTTTAGTGAATTTCACATTCAAGGACGAAGCCTTTATGGCCCATTCAAAAATTCCTAAAAAAATTCGAAGAGGGACTGATCGACAACAGCATAGTCTCACATAAAAGGGTAACCAGAGCGTCGCCTGACAGACTTCACTCAAGCACCCGCAAATCCACCCTGGGACTTGGAAGTGCAATTTGCGGAACATATCTGACTGGCCGGCAAACTGGCATCACAAGCGAATCATACGTCTTTAGGGCATTGGGTTGGGATATTGCCTGCTGACGACGTCAAGTGAATAAGCTACTAAAGGTCACTGTGGTCTCACACTGCCACCGTCGACAATACTTCTGGATCTGTAAATTCTCTCATGTATGAAACGTCGGCACAAGCAAAAATACGAGTTTCCGCGAGCAACTGGGAAGGATACACGACCAACGGAACAAGAATTTTATTCGCCTGAAGTTTAGGATTCACACATGAACCCACTATCAGATAACGGTAATGGCCTACAGCCGTAAGGGCCGGGATGACCATCTTCGAAACCAACCGAATAACCGCTACCAAGGCAATGGGAGAGGCCCGTAAGACTCGTGCTACAGATCAATGTTAGCACCCAGAATCCCGCCATCGTGTCCACGGTGTCAGCTGACGTTTCGGGCACGGATCGGCCTCGTTGGACGTCTGCGATACAGTACAGTGCCCGCATGACCAACCGGCCCCTAACCTCACAGCACCCCACCACTAGCATCACCAACGAGGACACTCCTTCCAACCCGCAGATGATCACCACTATCAATCTCACCACCAACAATGTGAACTCAATTACAACCCTTCACACTTTGACTGCACATTTGAATCACGCATCGGCCTGCTCGGTCACTTACGAATCTATCACACTGAGCCAGGCGAACTAGTACCAGGAACTCCGAGATGCACCCGTCGCTCCCTCCTCGTCTGGCTACACTGTCTTCAGGATATTCGGGCATCGCATGGGCCTACTCTGCTATATGTGGGTCCTTGGAAATGTTCGGTAGAACACCACAGTTTAGACCTCATCAACTATCCTCACCCTATCTGCTCACGCACCACAGTCGCTTGCATCTGAACCTAAAACTTCGAGCGTCGTTAACGACGACGTCCGCAGTACGGCG